ACCATCCGAAGTCGCTGTTCTAGCTAAGGGACACAATTTTGCTGTCACTCCCTCTAGTATCCTTACGGAAGAAATCATCAGCCAAATTGAAACGGCTATTTTCCACCTTCCTTTAGAGGCAAGCAATGACATCAGAAATCGAACAACCAACATCCTACGCAAAGCCAAACTTCCCAAACAAAATATAAACAAAGAAGAACGCCGAGCTCTCCACGGTCTGAAACAAAACAACAAGATCCTAATTTTACCAGCAGACAAAGGGAACGCTACTGTAGTTATGAACAGGGAAGACTATTGCAGTAAAATCAATAGTTTACTCTCAGACCAAAAAATCTACAGAAAACTCAAACGCAACCCAACATCCAGCACCGAGAAGAAAACATCTTCTCTTCTGAAAAATGCAGGTCTCCCTCTTCAAACTATCAAGTATTTAACCCCTCAAGATTCTTCAGCACCTAGACTCTATGGTCTTCCAAAAATCCACAAGGAATCAGTGCCCTTACGCCCTATTGTCAGCAATATTGGGGGACCTACCTACCAGTTAGCCCGCTATCTCACCAAACCCCTCCAGAAACTTACTGGTCTCACTGATTCCCATATCAAGAATTCAACGGATTTCGTGAATAAGATCGCAAAAATCAAGATGAATACTAATGATATCCTGGTGAGTTTCGATGTAGTCTCACTGTTTACTAATGTTCCAGTCTAGGATACTTTGAACATCATCAAGAATTCCGAGGAAATTCCTGCCAACCTCTTCCCACTAATAGAACACTGCTTAACTTCAACTTATTTTCAGTTCCAAGGAGAGTTTTTCGAACAAACCTCTAGAGCGGCGATGGGATCTCCTATATCTTCTATCATTGCAAACATCTTTATGGAACATTTTGAGAATAAAGTTTTGAGGAACGCACCACTGAAACCATCCACATGGTTTCGGTATGTTGACGATATTTTTGTAATTTGGAATCATGGCAGGGAAGCTCTTTCTCAGTTTCTTGGGTTTCTCAATTCACAACATCCCAGTATTCAGTTCACAATGGAAGTGGAACAAAATAATCAAATACCCTTTCTGGATGTGCTAGTCCAAAAGAACCAAGATGACACCTTAGGTCACCAGGTCTACCGAAAACCAACACACACGGACCGATATCTACATGCAACCTCTCATCATCCCTCGCAAAAAAATTCTGTCATAAGTTCATTGGTTAACAGAGCGCTCACAATTTCGGAACCATCTTCACTGGATGGAGAACTAGAACGCTTCAGTACAGCCTTAACCAAAAATGGATACAACAGCAAAAACATATAGCAAAACATATAGCAAAAACAAATAATAAAAAACCAGAAGAACAGAATTGTCAGTCCTAAAAACACTGACACACTACATGAAGAGAGAGAAAAGAGAAAGACGGCTGTCCTTCCATATCTCCAGG